CTTATAGTTATTTTGAAACTTGAATAATTCTCTACATAAATGCCGATTTCTATAAATTAGCTCATGAAAACTCTTTTCTGGCCAGATCGCGACTACCACGGGTCATCTTATTCATCAAGAGAGAGAGAACGTCGAAAACATTACTAGTATGTTGGAACCAGTTGGACAAAGAGCTTTCCTGTTATACTAGTCCATGAGTATCAGTAGCATATTACTTTGCCATAATACCAGAAAATGGTAATCTTTGTAGAAAACTGAATTGTTTGATTGAGATTAATCCACAAAGGGATGCGATTTGTCTCGAAAATGTTGTGGTCTCGTATCTTCTGATGGTGTCTATGATGTTACTATTTGACTCTGGTTGAGATTTATGAGCTAAAAATGATCTGATATGTTTATAAAATCAGTCATCGATTATAACTATTATTTACTTGTTTATAGGATATTTCATAAGCTTTGAAGATATTAATTATTCATTAAATATCATAAATTACTGCATCATTAGTCTACTCTGTATATTTATGCTTGGAAAGTATTCATTATTCATGATATGTTGTACAAGCGCTTTTTTATTTTATTTCTCAAGTAGCCTTAGAAAATGGTCTTGCATTCCCAAACTATGTCAATGAGCTGAGGTTTCAATGTTGTATGCGTAGTAATTAATTACCACATTGGATATGTAGGAGCTAAACTGAAGGTCATAAATATTGTAGTGTCAAATTTGCGTAGCTTTGTTTCCTAAGCTAATTAGTTTTCGGTATGATTCAGGTTGAAAATTGATTTCTCATCATCGAACTTCTTGTATCATAAATTATTTTTATTATTATTTCACTGTGTTAGTTTTCAATTTCCTCCATAGGGCTCCACATATTTGATGTCCACAATGTAAAGAAGAGTAGTTCATTTATATTCCCTCCCACATTCTAACCAACTAATAGTACAAAAGCAATTCAATTTGCATTTCTCAAGTAAGGGATAGGAGTGAAAAATATGCGCATTCACTTTCTTCTATACTACAGTTGAACCTGCAAAATTTATCCAGTTCTAATGGACACCTATGACAGACATTAATAAAAACATCCAACACTAACCCTTTTGGTTGCAAAAGTCAGACAAACCTTCATGTTTCAGATAACAATCTTGTACAAATCATGCCCCTAACAAAGGCATACACAAATGAAATGATCAGTTACTAGATTAGTACAGTTGATTCACCAAATCAAAGATGAATAGATCCTACTAAAATCATCACTACAGCTGATTAACCTATTCAAAGATGAACAATTCTTTCTAAAATCATCACTACGTAAGGGTCCGGCTTCATTTATGTTTCCCCAATGAGCATAAACTTACAAATCCTGGGAAAAAATAAAGGTACAACCGATCAGCTTTCAATTTCCAATATAGTTCTTTATCTAAATTTGCTGAAACCATTTTCAGTAACTGTCCAGTTGAAGGTCGGCAATTATGTCCTCTCAAAAAAGTTACACAAACCTGACCGATGAACGGATAGTACTTCAATGTTTACTTTCTAGAGGCAAAAATATAATTTTCACAGATAGCTAAAAATATTTTACGGGCGTCAAGACAATACTTGACCTGCACGTACCAAGGAGATTGAATTCAAACTGCATTTTTGCTAATACTACTGTCCTCTAGATGATCAATCTCTTCCAAATCCACATAATCTTTCGGATCAGTACTTGTACCCTCGGATAACACGGATTTATCCCTTCCATGGACCACTTTTCCTTTGCCAGGGTAAAATAAGTGATCGGGATTCAAAGGTAAAGCAGCAGGGTCGAGTTCAAAGGCACCTTTTGGCACCCCTTCCCTTTCAAGGCCAGTCATCTTGAAACATGGAACACAGTGGGAAAACCTGTACAGCTCATTGGCCCCTATCACAAATAAGCCCTTCTCATCTTGGCTACCTCTCTGAAAAAGGCTCACAAATCCATCGATTTTGTCCAACCAACCAACTTTTATCCCATAATTCTCCACGAAATCCGAGAGAACCTCAACAATTTCGTATTTGAAATTTTTTTTATGATTATTCGGGTCGACACTCCAGCTTATGTCCCAATCCTTGAAGATAGCCCAAACCTCACCTTCCCTTGGGTACAACAGCAAAGAGCCTCTCTTCTTTCCTTTCTCAACATGAACCCGATGAGAGAAGGATAGGCGTGCCGCTTTTTCGGTATGGCAGAGTTTAAAACTGCCACAGCCAACAGGCAACTCCTCGTCCACCCACTCCACATACAATTTGTTTATAGGCACAGCCTCCAGCCACGTGATGCTCAGTTCGAACGGGGAAGAAAATATTTTCTTCACCTTGGCGTAAAATCTCGGCAAATCGTCCAAAGTGTCGTAACAGGCCCAGAATTGGCCTACTTCAAACTGGCTTTCCTCACGCACTTTATCAAAATCGCTAAATTCCGGATCAGGACATTCTATATTCACAACATCACTGGATAGTGTATCTTCGTCCCAGTCGCTTTCTATCTCGACTCCATCAGAACTGTTGTTCGTTTTTCCACAGGTTTCTCCTCCCACCTTGGATTTTTCAACTGATTCCAAATCTTCTCCATCTCGCAAGATTTCTTCACGACGACAGCTTGCAACATCTGGAGAACTATTACGATGAGCATTCTTGGGATTATCACTTGCATTATTGTCTTTGGCAGCTTGCGGTTTATTGAGAGGGGGATCAGTAAGATCATCGACCTCGGTCTCGTTATGCAAGACATGCTGCTTCTTCGTTAATGGTTTCTGCGGGGGACACACTTCAACAGATTCAAACTTGGAATCAGTTGCAAACTCACCAGCACTGCCTTTATTACTGGCCAAATCTTTGAAATCAGGTCCTGTCGAGGCATCACATCTCTCACTAGATTCCTTCCTGGCCCTCTTCCTGCTTTTGTTTTTCGGATATTGCGTTTCCTTGTAACTGGCATCATCACCATTGGCTGTTCCGACTTCCTGGTCACGATGTAAAGAGCTCGTGTTCCTATTATCTGTTTCATTCACCTTTGAAATTTTTTCATTCTTGGTGGCACCTGCTACCTTGATATCTTCCGAAGGTGTGCCCTTCTGGACATACGTTTCTGGCTTAACATTTTCTCTACTGGCGGCCGCTTGTGATTGTTCCTGAGATGCTGGAGACACTTTGTCTTTCTGAAAGCCCATTTTAGAATTTCCTGTATTCGGGATGGATTTTTCGTGAACAGCAGCCGGCCGACTTGGGTCAGGTCTCGAGTGCACATTTTGAGCAGCACACTGTGTTTTGGATTTCGTTCTTGACGGGTTGTCTGGAGACCCTTTGCCTTTCTGAAAGCCCATTTTACAATTTCCTGTATTCGGGACTGATTTTTCGTGAAAAGCAGCCGGCTGACTTAGGTCAGGTCTCGAGTGCACATTTTGAGCAGCACACTGTGTTTTGGATTTCGTTCTTGACGGGTTTTCTGAAACGATCACCTCATAGGCCACGAAGACCTTTTTGCACCCGGGACAGGTTATGTTTCTCTGTACATATTGTCTGGGGTATTGATATCTCATCTTGCAGAACGGGCAACACGTCCAGAACACCTGTGCCACGGAAGAAGAGTTTGAATTATTTGCTTGATGTTGACCCATACTGCTGTTACCATTAGAAACGTTATTCCCAGCACTGTGTTGTTTGTTGACCGGTGGGTTTTTGTCCACGTGCGGATTTGCTGGAGCAGATAGAATGGCCGAGGATCTGAGCTTGCCGTCATATAGAGATTTCTTTACAGGATCTGATAAAATCATATTCGCCTCACCAATCAACTTAAAAGCGCCCTCTGCACCGGGAAATCGGTTCTTGTCAGGATGGAGGATGAGTGCCAAACGGCGGTATTGTTTCTTGACTGTTAACACATCAGCCAGTTTATCAACTTGAAGGATTTCATACCAGTCCTTCTCTGAGCCTATCAGCAGCTTTTGAGCTGAACAGTGCACCTCACATATGCTTAGCATTCGGTTAATGTTTTCGAGTTCCGGGTAAAGATTTCTTGCTTTGAGGGCCATCCTACGAGCAGCTTCAAAGTCCGTTTTCTCCATCTTATTCTCGGCAAGTTCCATGGCCCGGACGGCCTCATCTTTGTTGCACTCCATTACCAGAATAACGTTTGAACAGAAGTTTCAGGGAGTCAATTAACCTAACCAGTTGTGAGTTTTCCTAACTGCAACAAAAATCAGCAAGCGCTACATCCATGAAAATTATTAACAAGCCCAATCAAAGTAACTTCCCTAATCTTACTTTAATTAAATGCAATTGAATGATAAACAAAGAGATCAAACATAGTATGCCCATGAAGCATAATAAACAATGCAAGCAGAAAAAAATTTGTCTGTCTAAAAAGCTAGTTTGCAGTAGGATTGAGCAAGCAGGATAAAATTTGCCTCCAATGCAAACACTTTTGGCAGCTGAAGAATCAAGATATGATCACAGAACAATCTAAGAGAAAAATGCTTCAACCATAATCCATAAGCCAACCATATATCTGACAGAAATAAACAAACGACTAAGAAGTAGGAAATTTTAGAATGCAAAGCACTCGAGTGTAATTAAGATAAATAAAAACACACATTATTAAACAGTAGAAAAATATCAATGTAGAATTCCAGCCATCTCACTAAAACATGTGCAGTTAAAACTTGCCGCAAAGATACCAAAGGCACTATCATAAACACCTGTAGATTGCAGTGGGACTATTTCTCAGCTTGCATATAGCACGAGACAAGATGATAAGGTAGCGATTGGATATAGAATTTTTTTTGAAAATGTAAGGATTACACTTGATGTGAAATAAAAATAATAAAATATAAATTGGTAATGATTGGTAGTTAGAAATACATGAGGGGGTGAATTTTTTTTTTGTTTGAAAATAAATAATAATGATTAACTTTTATTTTTTATAGTGTTAGCGGAATTATTGAGAAAAAAAAAAGAAAAAAAAAAAGAGATGACATGAATATTAAGCGAGATGAAAACTTATGTTTCGTTCACTGACTAGACAAAAGTGAAAAAGTTTATATTCAATTGTGATCTAAACGTATTTCACCATTTTCAATTCATTCTTTATATATCATGATCCCATTGCTATTCCTAGTACTCTAGTCTACTAGAAACTAGCAAAACCACATCAGAAGTGAGAGAGGTCCAAAAGAGAAAAAGATATGAACTAATTTTACAAGACAAAAATAAAATGCTGCGACAAGCATAAGATCGCCCTTTTGACAAAACTTAGATACAAATTAATTTGTATGTCATACTTGTCAACTTCCACAATTCATTCCACGTGGCTTTTTTCTTCACAGTAGAGGTTCTTTAGACCCCGTTCAATTACACAAGGCATCACGTAGAAAACAAAATTTGAGTTGGCTAAGATCAACGAGGTAATAAAACCTCAATTGATCTGAATGACATGTAGTAATGTGTTTCTTCCTAATGATTTTCTAGTTTACATCTAAGAAATTCGCTAACATGTCGAATACACTAAATTATATATTTGAGAATTTGAAATCTGAAGGATTAAGCCATGAGACAGAGGACAAACTTCTTAACGCCATATATCCGTATACTCATGAAACATTACATTAACTTAAAAGCCCATCGAGACCTTTCTCTAAAAACTAAATAAAGAAAGAACATGGTTTCTACTTCATCTTCAAACAATTGTGTAAAAGAATGAGGGAAAAACCCAACAAACGAAAATTCTATAAACGAACGATTGTGTAAACTTATCATATTCAGGACAAAATCGAGCATTTTCGCACTCAAAACTACAAAAGTATGAGTAAATTGCAGAAGAAAATGAAGCAAAAACGTACATGCAGCATTACTAACACCTTATCTCCGTCCGGGAAAGAAGATAAATAGAAGAATTAGTCAGCCAATGCGCAGAAATGAATTTCCAGAGTCCTCCAATGGATATTTGCTGCAAAAATAAAACAAAATAAAAACAAAAGAAAATGGACGAAGAGTAATGAAATGGAGCGAAGGAGAAGAGAGAAACAAAGAATAAATCGGGAAATAGTACAGAACAGAAGAGCAGCAGAGAGGACGACTGGAACAGAAACACATCCTCAAATCCTCCAGAATTTCATTTGGCCCCAAAAGAACCTGACCGAGTGTGTGTGAATGAGTACCAATGAGAAGGGTTCTGATTTTCAAACATGAAATAACATGGAACAATCTAGAATATGGGCTTGAATTGGGCTGGTCATTTGGCCCGGCCCAAATTTATTTATTGGTCAAATTTATTATTAAATTAATTTAAAAAATTCATCAAACTTATTTAATTAATAAATTAATTGATCAAATTAATTGTTCGACCCCGAGTTGAAGAACGGGCCCACCAAAGAGAAAAAGCTAATTTGCGCCTAGTAAGCCGAGTAAGGTCCACAGACCGGCCATCAAACGAAAAAGAGTCGAGCCGTCAGGCGCAAGCGAGACTAAGACCAAGACAGGAACATTTACCCGAGTTGGACTGGCAGGCCGACCAAAAGGCAATTAAATAAAAGTAAATTGCAGTCTAATGGTGGGAAATCACATCTCCGGCAACTCATCTGTCTACTAGTCAGTCCTAGACTCGTAGGGTAGCACGTCGCATTAACTGTGCATGTCCAATCAATTGAATATGCATTGTACGACCCGATGAACAATTTCTGGGCTACAGTTACTATAAATACCTTTATAGAATTGTAGTAAGTCCAAGAAGGAGATGAAAAGATGACTCAACACACAAGATATAGACTCGTGTCATATATACTCAGGGACCAATTAGTCCGACCTATAATATGATTGGCCGACCTAGGCCACAATTATACTATCCTATTCCTGCACTGATCTTTATTTCTTTCCGTTTGATTCACTCCATGAAAAAACGTGTATATTGATCTTCATTAAACACTTTTAAATCCAGTTCAAATCTCTCTTTAATTTCTAATTAATCGTTGGTCGAAATCGTTCATCAACAGTTTGACGCTAGAAGGAGGGTCTCATATTTGGAGTCAATTATCAGTATGCAATTAATGATTTTGGCGAAAAACTCTTTCGACAAATGATTTAACCTTATTCTTGTTTTATATAGATAGATACGATAAATAATAATAATTATTATATTCAATTTAATGATCACCGTTCTGTGTTGATCGTTGGCCGTCGGCTGACGGTCAAATCGGTTAATTAATTTTTTTATTATATAATAAATTTATTATAATAATATTTGTTTTTGTATACATAAATAATGAAATATCATAATTATTATTATTTTTCTAATTATTACAAATTTAATTATTTTTTACATACAACGATACTCGGTAACTTGACGAAAAATGTACAAAATAATTTTACTAATTAATTCATGTAAATGAGATGAAAAAAAATACGATATATTTATTAGGCTCTAAATAAGTGGAGAGAAAATTTAGATTTTTACTTAATTTAGTGGCAAATTTTATTTTATTCTTCTTAAGATTGACATATTTTTATGAAATTGTTATTAAATATACAAATTTTTTAATTTATGATTTTTCAAAATCAAATTAATAAATAAAAATATATTAATCATTATTTCTAGCAAATAGACAATACTAAAAAAATTAGACTAGATTGAGTTTTTCTATTTGTATATTTCATAGCGTTTGAAAGGATACATAAAAATTATCACATTATTTTAAAGTTGTAGATGGATTAGTACTATTGTAAACATACTCTATTAATCAAAATTTCTAACTATCCTTTAATTTAAATAATCCTTAAGTTTAATTTATTTAACGTATATAATATAACTTCTAATTGTCATTTAATGTAAATAATATTTAAAATCAATGTAAATAATTCCAATATAATGATGATAAAAATTTTAGCAAAAAATAAGTACTACTCATTTAGCAATTATACCATTTGACTTTTTTACCTTAAATTGAAAATTTTGAACACTCCCAAATAAAGATTTCTCAACATATTTTTATTTTCTTAAAGAAATTTTTTTCAATTGTACGACTTTTTCATAAAAAAGATTAAACTATGGTCATGTTGCCCAATATAAAATATATAAAATTAATTTGAATATCAACATGATATTTATTTTTTTACAATTATTTTTAATATTATTTTCTAGCATCATAACTATAATAAAATTATTTTTAATATTGTTAAATGAGTAATACTATAGAGCTCACTTGGATGACAACTTAAGTTACAACTCAAGTGTAAATAAATTATTTTTTAATTTTTTGATAATGCATTTATACTTGTAAAAATAACATTACTCTTGTTTAAATATTAATAAAATGGAAACCTTGAAAGTTGAAATTGCTCTTTCACATTTGTCCGTCCGCCCCACTTTGCAGGTCCTTATTTGGCTCGTGGTCGCTCACAGACTCGTTCCCGATACCATCTGTCTCACCAAAATCTCCTGGCCGGAATCTATGGCCCCACCGTCCTCTGATCCGTCTCAACGGTACGTGCTCTCTTTCTCTTTCCTTATATCCGTCACATGACTGATTTGAATTGAACCACTTAATTTCTCTATGAAGCGACGTCGTCAGGAGGCAAAACAAAAGTGCTCCGTTCAAATTTCTACTTCCGTTGGTCTATGCTCCTGTTCTTCCTCTTAGTAAGTTTATTTTTCATTTACCTCTAATTTTTTGTTTAATAGCTGGCAAAGATCGATTGTTAGTTACACCTTCATAGCTTTTGTATGTTTTCTGTATGTGCCTATTGATGGCTTATATTTTCCCTTCAGTTCGGATTACGCTCCGGCACAGGCCGGTTTTGAGGGATCGAGTGTTCACCGGTGTCTTGGCTGGAGCATTTGTTCATGGATTTTACCTGGTGTATCCTTTTAGAGTGCGTTTAATTATGGATGGGTGTAATTAATTTGTGCACTTAATCATTCTAGCGTAGTCATGGTTAACTTGTTTTGGCTAATTCTTGCTGAAGGATTGATTGCTAATCTCATATCAATACTGTTGATTACGGCTATCGTAACCGGGTATTTCTTGGTTACAAAACTTGAATTCTATGCCCAGTTTGATTTATAGCTAAAAGCAGAAACAAAGGCTGATAGAATTAACTATCTTAGCTGTTGTTTTAACACATGATAAGTATCTTAGCTGTTGTTTTAACTAAGCGGTGTGTGGGACATATGTGTGTTTACTCAGGTAACTGTAATGACCTTTTCAATAGCTAGTCTTTGACCATCTTCGTCTACTCTGCTTTGTTTTTTAGTCGGTAATTTTCATTTGCATATTGTATAAATCATTATGGCTCAAGTTCTTGTGTGTCTTGCTTCTTAGCCTTGCCTCGTCAACTACATTCACCAACTTTGAACGAAATAACTATTTTCCTGAGGGCACTTCTTGTCATGTATAGCAAACGAGTGAACTAACCTGTGCTATATGAAGGGGCTAGTCATTGTGGTAGTTTGGCGAACTATGTCAAGAACATTTTACTTAGAGCATCTCCAATGGGTTGTTAATTGTAGAAATGTGGAAGAAGTTCCATAAAAAATGTCTCCAACCGTGAATGTCTAGATTCTATTCATAATGACATGGCAAGAGAGAGAATGAATAAAATCCAGAACTATTATGTAGAAGTCATGTTAGACATGATGACTCATATTTTCTAAGTTGAATAAATAAACCACTGGAGACTTTTTATGTGTTTGAACATCTATTTCTTCCACGTGGATGGAAGACCATCTACTTAATTGCCACATGCAGTACAATTCATGCTTACCATTGGAGATGCTCTTAGTTTAGTTTAGGGCGCTCTTGTTATTTTAGGATTATGGCGCTAAAGAGAAGTGTACCTAACCCATGCACCCGGGCTAATCCATCGACTGGGCTTTTGTTGTTTTCAAGATAAAGAAAATCTTAAGTTGTTTCGCCTAAAAGCTTGCAATCCATGATTAAAAAATCTAGTGAATGAGACTATTATACGGCGTTGTAATTAAAAAATCTAGTGAATGAGACTATTATACGGCGTTGTGAATGAACTAGGATACCTTCTTCATAGAAGATGGCAATTTATCCTACCTCACCATGGAGTTAAGTGGGTTCCTTAGAGGCCACGATTCTCAAGTTAGAATCTCCATCTCTACTTCACTTGGTCGAGCTTTACAACTTGGGGCTTGCCTAGCATAGTTGATTACTGTTGATTGTCGAAAGAGGAAACTTATCCAGGATAATTGGGAATAAAATCGAACTTCTTTTTGGAAAAATCTCGAGTACTTCCGTTGACCATATTCTCCTCCGGTTTTAGGTTCCATTCTTGAAAATACTACAACATTTTGATCCAATCATCGTCTTTTATTTTTCCTTGATACTCGAACCATCACTTGGCCGTACATCTTATGTGGACTATCATCGGGATTTTGCTTATTATGTTATGATTTGTGTGATGTTATTATGAGTATTGAGTGAAGAAGCTGTTTGAAGGTTGTCTTCTTCTGTGTTATTAGTCCGGCATGCAACTCGAGTCCTTAACAAGTTTTTGACAGAGGCATAGGCAGATGCCATAGGGAATTAAGAATTTCAGCTCTTGAAACTAATCATTACATGAAATGAGTTTAATGTTATTCATCAGTAGATTGCCATGCGCATTAACAGATAAATGGAAGTAGCAATATACTAATTATTGCTTCTAGTTTTATTGTCCATCCTTAATAGCATGTTTAGAACAGATCTATATGATGCTGAGAGCAAATGATTCTTGGGAAGCAAAGATGAAACAGGCTATTCGTGGATGGATGCAAGACTGACCTGCTTGCAAGCATTATTTTTTGCAGCTTCACTAGAATGTATCTGCTTATGATAATATATAGTGTTTCGTTCTTAGCTTGCATTGGCTTTGTCTGAAAGACATCCATTATTTTCATTTGAATAAATTTGAGAGGTGATTGAATTTAAATGAATTAAATTGTTGATTTTTCTATCTGTTTTTCTGTATCTTTCTATGCGGGAAGAAGATGCTATAAAATGCGTTTTTTCCATCAAACTGAAATCAGTTTTGAGAATGTTGGGATGTGCTTTCCCTGGCTTGAAATTGTTACAAGTAATATAATTGTTTTTGTATTTAAAAAAATATATGTATCTCCTGTGTATATATGTCATTGGTTGCTGCGCAAATTTGATACTTCCACTGTTCCACATCATATCTGAACTAGTACATATATATACAAAAATATAAAGTTTTTAATTGTCATATTATATTTTTTAGTCATAATAGTTAAACACCCGTATATAATTTTAGGATTTCGATGTCAAATTATAATTTTTTTTTTAACTTTATATGTAATTTTAGAATTGAATAATTAATTATTTATTTTGTTAGATTGACAACATACTAATTAATTTTTTAAAAAATATTATTTTTAAAAGAATAATATCAGATTACTTCATCTTCGAAATGAGTAATATTTGAATATTAGAGAGGGTAACTTGATCATGAGCGAATTTGTTGATGTTTCACCCATGAAGTTTGGAAAGTTCCAAACATTGGGAACTACTCGGGGAAGAGTTAGGAACAGGAACAAGGAGAAGCGAGTTCGTTCTAGTCTATGACTGAACTTCACTTCGCTTTGTTCCTCCCTTATTTGTCCGCCTTCTTTATAATAATAATATGGCAACCGCATCGTCCCACATTTTCGGCCACCCGTGCTCGTTGCTGAAGCCAAAATATACCATACATTCAACGATTCAAGTGTGAAAGAAAGAGTAGCAAATTCCCCTATCTCCACGTGGAATCTTTTCGAAATCCATTTGACCATTCTAACCGGAATTCAACCTTTGATTTGTCCTCCAGCCGACCAGGCTAGTCTGTCCTACGTGCCCTTCTGAATCGATGAAGAAAGCTCCGGCTTATCGTATGAGACTAAATGTTGCTCGGATGGAAATTCAATGTATATTCGTTTTTTGTCAACTGTAATGGATTAACTCCTATTTGACCTATGGTCGAGTCAATTTCATCGATCCTCGGAGTTTCCCAATTCTTTTGAGATGCCTTCTTCATTGACCGAAAGGTTAATTACATCTTTAGAAGTGAAGTGAAGTCATGGACTTCTCCTTCCGTGGCTAGCTTTGCTTGCTTTCCTCTTCCTCTTATTATAAGGAAATGGCTCTTAGCCGACTTTTAAAATAAATCTAGAACATAGAATCCAGAAGTTATGGAAAATTTTCTCGAAGACTTTAGTTTAAGGGGACAAGTAGAATTTCTTCAAACTGACACATGTGGGTAGGTAGAGAATGCCTAGGGGCGCGAGACAACTCTCTCTGAGGAACTCGACAAAATAGTCCCGTAACTTCAGGAGAAGGGGTGCCTCCTCACAAAGGGGGTCGCAGTGACCGGGCCCGGGCTTCCTCCTTATTTCTTTCCTACTCCTTCTCCTCCTTAGTTATTTCCTCCTCCAGTCCAAACTAATTGAATATTTGTATCAGAAATTCCTGGAATTGGTTTCCCATTTCAGTTGGATAAGTCATAACAAGTATATGAATCTTCTTCACTCTTACTAATAGTATGGCGTTTTCATTGATTCTTTCTCCCCATCTTGAATAGAAAAAGTAGAAGTGATATGAATGATTTAAGTGAAGATATATCATAGAAAAATAAAATATAATGAAAACAAAAGTATTATGGTAATTATGGAAGAAAATATGGAATGAAATAAATGATGTTTAATGTTTAATGTATTATGGAAATAAAGATGCGTAATTGACATTTGACAATTGACATGACACTCGAGCTTAACTATGTATCAACCCAAAGTACAAAATTATGACAAAAAGGTTCCCGAAACATGCGAGTCTGCCACTTAAGCTCAGCACATTCGAGAATTACATATAGAGGGGTTATCTACTCAGGCATATTTTATATTTTTAATAATAACACATACTTTTTGGGAAATGACTACAGTCCCGTTACGGAATGTGTGTTTTAACCATGACTTATCTATCCTACACTAATCTACATGTGTATCTAACGCTAATAATAACCACAGACTCGTTCCGTGATGGGACTGTAGTGATTCCCTACTTTTTGAACTGTTATTTTTATATTTATTTACTTATTTATTTTTCCTAGGATAGTAGAACTTGAATTAGAGATACGACCTTTAGAGGTGTCAAGTATGTGATATCACGTCAGTTTTACTACGGAGCCATAAGATGACACGACTTACGAGACTATTCATAATTATTCACAAAATGGTGTATTGACATGTATCCTACAGTAAATACACTTTCGACAAGTGTCAGTACATCGACTTATGAAACCATCCACAATTATTATGAAATGGTGTATTGACACGTGTCCTGCAATAAATTATTAATAATATATATTTTATAAATTATGATAAACCAATAAGTCATTGTCTGAGTGTCATGTAAATAAGATCTGAAAGAAAAATCAAAATAGTTATAATATATGTTATCATGAATTATAATTATAAACCAACGAGTCATCTGTCGAACAACGATTTAAATTGTTAGCTTGAAAAAAATAAAAAATACTTATAATACAAATTTTTATAGATTATAATGATAAATCAGCAGGTATTGACTGGACATGTGAATTATTAGATTTTAAAACACTATTTATAATACACAAAAAGAAATACTTTTGTCAAGTAAGTAATTAAAATTAATAAATTTAAAATAATATAGAATATATTATTATTGAATTAAGTGTCAGTTTATAATATTTACCGTAATTTGACTTTACTACTATTTATTTAGAAATTGAAATAATATATTGTAATAAAGTATGAGTAAGGGCAAGAGAGAAAAATATTTTTGTGAGTATTGTTTATTGATATTTTCTATATGTTAAATTTTCATGTTCCTTAATTCTAAATAGTAACTCTAAAATAACAATTATTTTATAACATGTGAAATACACATATAAGCTTAGAATAAATATAAATATATTTACAATATATAATGTTATATATTATAACATAAAGACCTCTGATTGGCTGGATTTGGCCTGACCTCGAGCTCCTCGCCGGTTGAACGCCTGCAAAAACTCTCACACCGTGGAGATTTTGTGGTGAAGAACCTCCAATGCTTATGTTAGCACTTGTAGAAAATGAAGTGTAGTACATAATGTATGTAGAGAATGTAATGTGATAATGGACATACCTCACTCCCTAATATAGGGAGGTGATACCATGTTGCCCAAGACTGTCCGAATGGGCTGCCCGATCTGCCCGGTCTACCCAAGTTGTCCAATTTTGTTAGGCCACGTGACCCTATCCACGTGTGACTCTTATCTCTTTAAGATTCTTTCTTATCTCTTAATCTTCCGTATTAGACTGTTTAATGGTGCAACCAGCTCGAGGTCGGCTGAGGTAGAATGTTGCATGTTCTGAGCCGTGTTGTCCTATTTGGTCGATCACATAACCAACCATATCTACAAGTCGAGTTTTTCAGCGTGTCATCCGAGGGCCCTAGCTAGAGATGTCGTTGTCTCTTTGAACCCCTCTCGCTCCTTTCGATTTGAAGACTTCTTATCAACGATCTACGTCACTGCTGCTTTGATTCAACCACCCGGTTCATTCGACCTGACTGGGTAGTTGAACCAACTATCTGAAGACATGTGGATTGATCGATCGTTGGTTGATCGATCTGAAGAATGCTTTAATTTGATTATAATATTATTACCAAAGTAAAAATAGGGTAAATTTTATACTATTATTCGGTATAATTGACATTAAAAAAGTAAAAAAATAAATAAGGACAAAAGATACTTAATAAGACCATTGGGTAAATGAAGGTTAATTTATATGGGCTGTCGAGGCGTTATTATTGCCAATGTCGGCCCAAGCCTACAAATTATTACTTTTCGAAAAACTTAGGTCAAGTTATATATTTTCATTATTCATAAAATAAAATAAAATCATTATAAGGTCCATTTATGATTTTATGAATTTCAGGTCTAATTGGAATTATAGTGCTACAGCTCCTTATAACTATATATCATTCGGGCTAAATCCCGGGCCAAACCAGGTAAAAAAAATAATTTTTATTTTTATTTTTTTTAAAAAAATTACAACTCCGAATATTTTTCTGCTCCGACCTCTCACCTCCGATCAAGGACTCGCGGCCGACGGTAGTCCTGAGGGTTTTTTCCACCTCGATATTTGTAGGTATACAATCTTTGTGGTAATTATGGTTTGAATTTTTGTTGTTTGATGTTAATGTTTTCTCTGTGATACATGTAAATTCGTGTCGTTTCATTTTTCATCTTATAAATGGTATGATTTTCCAAAACCCTAATTGAACCCTTTTGATGATTGATTGTTGGTGATATTGGGTTGATCGTGGCTGGGGTTAACGAGTTAGAACTTTGTATTATAGATCACGTTTTTGCTTAGATTTTGTTTAGCTGTAATTGCTGACAAAGTTAAGTTTGCACTTACCGGTTTCCATTGATCATTTTTTTTTTTTTTTTTTNACTACTGCACTAGAGCTAGCTTGTGATGTATTTTATTAAAGATAGTAGGTTGTTGAAGTTAATAGCTTTGAATCTGAGCATGGGATTATCAATTCATTGAATGCCCTGAAAGTTAGTGTTAGTTTGGTTGTTCACAGAAGTATAATTTATTTTTTGTCTGTCTGTAGTTCAGTTGAGTTGTTATTTTACCTGTAAATCCGCAGGAGAATTTCTTCGATAGGTACAATTAACTTTGAGAATCAGATTTATTCTACGCTTAAGAGGTGGAAACAGTGTAATTTGATATTGGCCTAGTTGTTAGTCAGCTCAATAATGCCGGATGACAGCGTAACTGTACTTCATTTGCGAACTTGGTAACTTATTGTGACTTGTCTTGTGAGCGACCTTACTAAGGTATCTTTTATAGTATATATCTCT